TGGCAAGTGATTTATTTTTGAGGATCCAGTGGAAAATTGGGTACTTGGCTCTTTCCAGTTGAATGAAATCTGTGAGTGTTTGAGTAAGTCATGTCTCGAGAGGCCATGCATGCTGGTGCCACAGAAGCTAGGCTTATCCATTGGAAAGGTCAGTGTGCTGCAGAAGTCAGTAAACCAAACTAATTCAAGCTGGGGAATTTCTGCGGACGAAAGCACAGTGTGTGTGTAAATGAAACTCCACTTCCTGCCTTCTGCTTTTGCCAGTTTCCTGGAAAACGAACTTCACCATCCTATGTAGACATATTTCCTGTACTCCTTGAAAATATTCTAACATCCTGATTTGTCTTGTTTTCCCTAAGAGTTCCAACAACTGCATATTTGTCTGTGACAACTGATCTTGGGCAGATCCCTTTCACACTGTCAAAATTCCTTCATGGTTGCAATTGTCATGTTGTTAGTATAACTTACGAATTAGCTCTCAAGGTGAGAAATGCAAATTGTAGTAAACACTTAAGTTGTAAACATGCATTGGGAAGCTGTCAGTAGGGTGAATGTGTTTTGGATGAGTAGCACCACCCTGACTGTGTATGGCTATGAGTGGTCTATACTAACTTTCTTGCACTCTCCCAATCAATACCTTATCTCAAAGGACGCAAAGAACCTCACTTCACAATCAGTTTCGACACATGCTTGCATTATTCACAAGGGTGAATTTCAATCTGGGGTTCTACAAACTGGAAGCACCTTCCACATTGTTTGGAGGACATATGAAGAAGGTCTTGATCTTTCATTGATCTTCAGTATTCTTCTCTCAGGGTACATTGTCTCAGGGCACATCTTGGTTGCACATTTGAACATGTGTGTCCAGGCAAATGACTGAGAGATGCCCCAGCTCTTCATTAATTAGGCAGAGCAGGTCATACAAGCCTTATGCAAGCTACAGTAGAATTCTGGCCAAAATTCTAGTCCATTTTCTTGTGCCAAAACAGCTTCCAGAGCTATTGAATGGCTTGATAAATGGAATCTAGTGCAGTGAAGGAGATTTCTTCCTACAGTGTTGTTCTTTTTTTAATTATTCAATATTTACTCTTTTTCTCCTAGCTGATTAGAGATGTGTGGTAGTTGTACCTCGGATATTGTGTTGCAGAGCAAAGCAACATTCAACAATGCAGTTCAAAAAATTGGGGCAACCCAAAGAAAACATTATAGCTTTTAAACCGGGCTTTGGATCAGTGTCAAATCTGGCACAGTTTTAGCAGATAGTCTGATCTTGCTCTGTGCCAAATTTGATGCAAGGCAAAAGATTCTGGGCAAAAGATTTTAAGTTATGATTTTTTTTTCAACCAAAAACATACATACACAGAGAGGGGGGGTGATCATAAACTGCAGGGCACAGTAAATTCATCAAAAAAGCCAAGAGATTTTAATTTACTTTTTCCCCTCTAAAATTACTAATCTCACCTGCTTTTCTATATTGTGACTAAACCCCACCCTGTGGTTGTGGGAATATTCAGGAGTTAAAATGCCTCTTTTGATACAGTTCAAACTTCAATGCTGTAACTGCGAGCATGCTCAGTAAAGACTACCAAGAAAGATAAAGGCTTCTCGAGAATTCCTGTGCCCACCCCTTCCATTGAAAAAGAGAACTTGCTTTGTCTGGGGCTAAAAGACGTTCTGCTGGGAGCACTCCTCATGAGGAGGTTAATGAAAAAGCATAAAGACCAGCAGCCGCCATGTGCTTGCTGGTTAAGAGGTTATGACACAAGCAAACAATGAAGGAGGTGGAGAAGTCCAGAGGCACCACTCTCAGTCCAGTAGCTGCAGCAGCTAAGAGTGGTCACCCACTGCTTCAGTGTCCTGCTAGCACTGTGTTCAGAGTGCACGCTGCTTCAATAAACTGGCCAAGAAACAGAGCTTTCAGGATTGTCTACTGTACACTCCAAGTTGCTAATTATTTTTAATTGATTGGCTGTTTCATATAAGTGCTTGTATGGAGCTCATGCTGGAGCCACAATTACTGCCATGGTGGGAATGTACAGTTTCACTAATCCAAGAAGGTGGTGAAGCAAGTGGTGGGTGGAGGGGGATTTGTTGGGGGAAACTGTTACACAACAACAGTTGGAAAGATAGTAAGCATTCTAGAGGCAACTGATCCTCTGTTGGTCATTCAAACAGGTTGTGTGTATGTGTGGCTGGAGGGAACCATTTGGTCTCATGGAATCTCTTTCTGGCTTACATTTCTGCCCAGGTTCTCTCAAGAAGGACCAAGGGCAACAATTCCTGCATACACTGAGCAGAAACAGAGTTTGGGGATTTGTCTTCTTTCAGACAACAACCCCTGGATCATCCAGCAGGCTATCAGGGATGGGAGGTGTAGTCTAAAAAATTAGTATTTCTAAGATCTGACAAAGGTGCAGAACTTGTGGGGTGGGGCAGGGCTTCCCTCTCAGTAATGTGCACCAGCTAGCTGCTGTTTAAGAAGGTTACATCTTGATTCCAGAGTCTAAAAGGAGATATACTTCCAATGAAAAATGAATGGAAGGCTTCTTTTCCTTTACTTTTTTTTAAAGTGAACTTTGATTTTTATTACTTTTCCAGTGTTGTGAAATCTGTTGGAGTTTACAACCTCACATGCTGCCTTCTAGCTTGTTTGACTGAGAGGGATCTTTATTGGCTGGGAGTAACTTTCGATTTATTCAGAATTAACCAATCATTCTCTCCTGTGGTCAGAATTCTAAGAGAGCCCCTTGTCTCTGCTGAGCACCTCTTCTTCCTCAGAAAAGTCTGGCAATGTTAACTGATGGTGGCTGGTACAAAATAGCAAAATATATTGAAGCAGAACTGTTAAAGATAGTTTGTTAGTTAGCTGTTAATATAACCACATTTGTAAGTAAATGGGACACTTTTATTCTTTATACTAGTCTCAGAATCAGTCACTGAGATTGTAGAGGGGTAGATTATCTGGGAATTAGTGACTATTGTGCCCTGCGAGTCACTGTACTTCTGTTGCACAGCTGAGGAGATTTAACCACTGAATTTCAAACCTCTGCAGCACTAATGTCAATAACATTCAGGGTGGTCTTTGTTATATGAAGTTTGGGATTCTTTCTCTTGCTGGCACCATGGGCATAATATTGCATACCAATGTCAGGCCATTTCCTGGCATTTTTGACTCATGAATGCAGAAGTATAATATCTCAGAGGTTTGTTTTAAGGATTGAATTAAATCAGAGGCCTGGGTTGAAGTATACCACCTAACAATGTCTCAGATGACAGCGGTACTGATAAAGCAAGGATTTTTGCAATGATAACAAAACATCTTTATTGTCTGCATATTTCACTGGTTACATTCAGTTTGAAAAAATAGTAAAGTGTCTCCAGTCCTACTTATATATATTCAGAATACCTCCATCAGTAAACATACACAGAATCAAATGCAGAATAGTCCATAGCATCAATGATTTGATTACATGATACAAATCAGAGGGGCTGAGTGTGTCACCTTTTGGCAGCTGAGCCTATAGTCCATTAGCTACATCATGTTACGGTGAGGAAGAATGAATATATAGAATATTTATGTGACTCTGTTTAGGAAAATCTTCCAGGTTTTCAATAATAGTACATTCTTGTATGGGAAAAAGACAGCATTCTGTCTTTCTTCTTGAATGGATGAGCTTTCAAAAAGAGTTATGCTTTTGTGAAATATCTGTTCTAATTGAGTAGACATATTCATTGCACACAGATATGAACCTCTCCAAAAAGGGACATAACTTGTCTCATTTTTTAGTATTCCTGGAATAAAGCAGGTAGTTTGAGGAAAGGCAGAAATGCCATCATCATGCCTTTTGCCTCTGGGGTAAGTCATTTCCATGGCTGGTTCTGTTATTACAACTATACAAAACCAAAATACTTCTAGAGTTTTTACTCAGTTTACTGAAATAATTAGTCTAAGCATCTCAGAGTTCCTAATTACATCTTGCTTAGTTAATGCCTCCAGATCTGTCTGGAAATTTGCCCTGGGAAAAATGCCAATAGGAAGTTCAAAATGCATGCAACCCACCTGAGAAATTTTGTGAATCATATTGGAAATAGTTTATTCCCCCAAGACATTCTAGGCAATGTTTTAGCAACGAAGGATCCAACATTCATTAGCAAGTCATTCTGTACCCTATCTTTGCACTGAGAAGAAAGAAAAACTCTTTAACTACCCAAAGAAGGAGTATCAAAATGGTAACTTATGTGTTAAAGGGCAATTGATCTGCATTCACTGATCTTGTGTATGCAACAGCAGTGGCGTAGCATGGGTTGCCAGCACCCAGGGCAAGGCAAGTATTGCACCCCCTAACCCATGGATGGTGAGCACTTCTGGTGGCCTCGGCACCTTCACCATGGCTTGGAACTCCCCCAGTGGGGGCCCATGAAACCCATGGTGGTGGGAGCAGCTCCACATATGAGACTAATGTCTGGACCACCGGACACTAGGCTGGGGCTGGGCCCCTCTGGCGGCAGCAGCAATCTCCCAACATCAGCCTTCTGGCACACAAAGTGGGGCTCGGCCTTGTGGGGGTGGCAGCGGGGTCTCACCTGCTTTCCTATATTGTGAAAAAAACCCACCCTGTGGTCGTGGGAATATTCAGGAGTTAAGATGGCCAGTGCCGCCCAGGGGTAGGCAGGGAAGGGCAGTCCCTGTTGGCCAGCCAGAGTTGGTCTTCAGAAGCCAGGAGGGTCACCTGCAAACCCAGTGTGGAGCCCACCCACATGCCCACCTCTTCCTGGCCCTGGACAAGTCAGGGGTGGGATACAACCTTTGTGACCTACAAGAGCCACGAAATTCTCTTTTTCTGCTGCACTGAAATAGAGGGGTGACAGAAGGGAGGGGGACATTTCATGCAGGAAGGCCAGTTCTAGGGTGGAGATGAAGCTCCTGAGCTGCAGGGGGAGGGGGGAACTTTCATTGCTGATTCTGTGCCCACCTTCCTGAATCACAGTTTAATTGCTGATTTTTTTTCCTTTTGGAATTCTGCTCCTCTAATAATGTTGTGCCCAAGGCAACCACCCCTGCGGCCCAGCCCATGCTACCCCACTGGGAAAGCAGCAGATTCATATACTTTTCTGGGCCTTACAAACAACCTTTCAAAAGCAGTTATCAAAATAACAGATTTATAGTGTAACACATAACACAGCTTGTTTGAGCTCCACTAACATATGTACAGATTTAGGTAGTCACTCTAAAGTAATAATTATTTACAATGTAAACATCCACTTTTAGTACCTATATATATTTAAGAAACAAAAATATCACAAATTTCACTTCACAATATATCTGTTTTGGTTTAAATGCAGTCATTTATTTGAAATACTATGAGAAACTCAAAAAATAGTTTGATTTTGTCTTTTGGACTTTTAAAGGATTTTTTGCAGGTTTTTTGTTTTCAAAATGAAGTCTTCAGATGTGCTAGAGAAAAAAGAAAAAAAAGAAAACGTTTTAGATACATTATCTTAATAACCTATAATTGTATTTGAAGACTGTAAAACAGAACTTTAAAAAGGGGAGGAGATGTGTTCTTAAGCTGGAAATAGCTATGAGTGGTCTGAGTCTGGCTAATTAATAAATTGCACAAAATGTACTGCTTCTTGCATCCTTCGAGTGATAAATAACAGATCTAGAAAATTACTGTCATCTGATGCTCCAGACAGTAAGGGAAAACAGAAAAGCGATACAACATTGGCTTAGCTTCAGCTGCTAGAGCTCTAAATGGAGGGCCTTTCTACCTCCATGGCTTTTGTAGAATCCACTGACAATGCATGCCTCTGGCCCTTTCCAAAGCTTGTTTACCTGTATTAGACCTCCATGTGAAAAGATGCTTGACCTACCCATATGCGCACCTGAATCTCTGTGGGCTTCCCACTCTTAGCGTTTGTGGTCTGCATGGCAGTGATGTGGAACGGCATCAGGAGGGGGCAAGTTCTAGTGGTCAAGGGCCAATTTTCTGCCTCTAAGGCCTATCACTACTGAAAATGTGAAGTAATTTTCTGAAGGTCAGAAGCGTCCAGTTTGATTTGTTAGGGTGAGGCATTCTAAGTGACAAAAGAACAGTGAATGCAATTTTTTGTTCTTTTCCCCCTACCACGGGGGTCTTGGGTACATCTGAGGGCTGCATCCAACCCAAAGGCTGCATTTTGCCAACCCCCTAGACTTGCACCTAGTCTTGCACCCTCTAATGACCGGCTAGCTGCTGAAGGGTAGAGGTGCCTTGCAGCTCCTAAACTACAGTAATCTGCTGCCTTGTTGCCACAGAGGATGCTATCCTGTTACCAGGACTGAAAAAGATTTGTCTCTCAGCCCTATTAACAGGCAATACTTTTTCCTTTGCCATGAGCAGCAAAAACTCTTAGGGTGGCTCTGCTCTTGCAGTACAGCCAGGTTTCATTGTTCCAACTAAGCCTGCTTTGTATTGATATAATGGCTCATACATTTGGGCTGCTAGTGATGAGTAAAAGGTGATGCAGTTGTATTGGCTGCAGACTCTCTAGGACAATGTTAAGATTGATGCAACTGGACTCCTCAAACCTCTCCAGGGAGGAGGGAAGAATCAGCATGTAAGTGTTACAGAAGCAAATAAACATTTTTAAAAGGGGACAAGGACGACTCTGTCACTAAGCATGTTCATGAGGTTGCAGGATGCTTGAGATATTGAGTTGTAATTGGAAAAGAAAAACAGCAAAACAATGGTAATGGAATGACTTGACCAGTACTTTAGTTTAGACAAACCAGGGATGAAGGGGTGGCAACAGGAACCAGCAGCATACATTGGTTCAAAGGGCTATACAGTAACTTTATACCTCTATTATTTAGTATTAGGAGAGATTCTATGACAGCTTCCTTAGCTTTGGAGGACACCCTATAACTTTGTTCATAACTGTCACACCTGACAAAACCATTTCCCATTAGTTATGTTTCATAGGATTCCTTTGCAGTTGTTGTTGGTGGGCTACTCTGGTTAAGTTCAAACCCTGCTAACTGCAGAGCATCCTCTATTTGGCACTAATTGCCTGACTGTACCCATATTATGGGTGGTACCCACTGATGAGACCCTCTTGACCTTTCTACAATGTCCCCATTGACCCATCCTCAGTTTGAGTGTCGCTGCAGGAAAGAACTTATTTAAACAAGTATGATATGCCAGAAATGACTTCTACAGTATTCAGAAATGGCTTTAATTTCAATCAATCAGAAGGATGTGCAAAAAAGGAAAAAGGTGTGGGAATCTTCTTTTTTTTAATTAAAAGCAGTGCCGATGCAATTATCTTCAGAGACACAGTATTCATCCTAATTTAACAGGAGTCAAGCTGGGTGTCATGGCTTAATACACAGAAAGAAAAACCCAAGTGAACAGAGTAGCTTAATAGTATCAAAGCACTAATTTTCATTAGAAATATCAAATGGAAACCACATAGTTATTTAATGCATGCAATTATCTTCTTGATATATAATTCCCAAAGAAATGTCATACGGGAATCATGTCATTAAGATTTTCTTTTTTAAAGCCCACCTTGGGTACGTGTGCTTACTAATAAAGTGATTTCCTGTGCCCAGGGAAAAGTTCTAACTTACTGGGGAGAGATTACTCAGAAGTTCCAGCTCATCTACAGTGACACCATCATAGTTCTCTAGGTACGCCGGTTCGAGAACATCCATGTCATCCTGGTGGCTAGATGGGTTGAGTTCCCCCTCACTGTTGTAGACCATAAAAATCCAAGAAGCAAATTAATCTTAGAAATGTTCTCTTTCATTGTACCATACTTTAAAAACTTTTATTAAAATGACACAATCAACCTAGCCTTATTATGTAAAACAATACAAAGAACTTCAAGTGAAAACGGGTTTCTTCAAGAGACAATGGCAGAACATTTTATTTAATAAAAATAATTAAGTAACCGTGTTCAGGAGCAAATGGAAGATTTCTCAGATTCTTCATTAAATTATGCCTTGCATAGAATATGCTCAAAAAAATAAAACGGGCCTGGATCCAGCTCCTCTTTCTTTCTGTGCATAGTCGCTTTTCTTTAAACTATTTTTATTATAAATTCCTCTCAATTGAAAGCTAGCATGAGAAAACATTGCTTGCTCTTTTTTTAAACTGCTGACAGCAGATTATGGCTCTAGATTATTATTATTTTGTGCTCTTCCCTCCTACCTTCTTTTTCCAGCTAAGACAGAGTCCAGATATTTCTTCACAGCCATCTGCTTGCGTAAGCGGCTGTAGTTGTCAGTGAAGACAGCATCTGAATGGCGTTTGACTGGCATCTGTTCATCAAGAGGACTGTTATCTCTTGAATGGAAAAAAGAATGCCAATTAACACATTTATTCATAATCCCCTAGTCTGTGCTCCTGAAAGTCAGAGATGGAAAAAGTTTCATTTTGGGCCTCCTGGTCTAAGAATAACCAGTCAATATTCTCTGCTGAATCAGGAGAGTGGCAAGTTCATTCTCAATTTAAAAAAAACTTAAGCACTGTGCCCTAATTTCCTGACTTTGCTATGCAGGCTAATTAAATACGTCTAATGTCTCTTATTTTGGCTTCGTTCACTAGCATGCAAAATGTTGTCCTTTCCATTCCTAGCTTCTCCTGATATGACTAGGAAAAAATCCAGCATGAAGCCTTGGAGACTTGTTGCTATTCATACCAGGCTAGACAGAACAGGGGTCTCACTCAACGTTATCCCAAGAAAGTCAGTAGATGAAATTAGAAGAACCATTAAGTTTGCTTTTAAAGAATGAAATCCCATTGAAATCCACACATTTCTAATTGTTTTCAAGCAAAGTAACTTTTTCTAGATGCTTTTTAGGGAACATATAGTGCCTTCACATTTTATTATAGTATAATAAAGCTGCCTTTGCCTTTCATGTGAAGGAGAAAGCGGCTACTAGCCAGGATGGCTACTAGGATGACTACATATAGATGGCATACTCTCCTACTGAACTAAATTCCTACACTCTGTGTTTCTTTTAAACCAGTTAGGAACTACCAGGTTTTGAAATGTGGCTTTCAAATGTTGTTCTCAGAATGGCGGGTGCTGGATCAGTGCAACATCTTGAACTGTCAAGATTATCTGGCTTCAAAGGTCAATTTCATAAGCAAACATGAGGATCTCTGGTTTCTATCTTCCTTCTGCAACTGCTTCCACCCACCCACCCCTGAAAGAATAGGTTGCAGTAGTGTGGGAGCTGTAATAGGAAGGAGCATACTGATAGAAGTCAAGGATAGAAGTCAAGAAGAAGTCACACCTCATTCCCAAGAAACAATTAAAAGTATATTTTGACTACAAATCTTTGTTACCTGTATCTGTTTTTGCCAAACAGTGCCCAAAATCCGGTTGCTTAGCGTAGTCAATCACACTAGGGTAGGCTCCTTGAATCAATAGGGAATTGGAAAGTCAAAGCCATTGATTCAAATGGGTCAACTCCAACTGCAAACTGTTAGCATAGTAAGTGACAGGTAGAATATGTCTATTTGAATCCATGAAAATTATGGAGGAGATGACTTACTAAATCCTCAGTGATTCAATGGGCATAAAGGAAAAGGTAAAGGTTCCCCTTGACATTTTTAGTCCAGTTGTGCCCGACTCTAGGGAACGGTGCTCATCCTGTTTTCAAGCCGTAGAGCCAGTGCTTGTCCAAAGACAGTTTCTGTTGCCACGTGGCCAGTGTGACCAGGGAACACCGTTTTACCTTCCCACGAAGGTGGGACCTATTTATCTACTCGCATTTGCATGCTTTCGAACTGCTAGGTTGGCGAGGAGCTGGGACAAAGTGACGGGAGCTCACTCTGTCGTGTGGATTCGATCTTACGACTGCTGGTCTTCTGACCCTGCAGCACAGGCTTCTGCAGTTTAGCCCACAGCGCCACCACGTCTCAATGGGCATACTCTAGTGCAAAATACTATGCCAAGCAATAGGATTTGGGTCATTGCACAAGAATTTGTATTTTACACAGCAGTAGCATGAGATTGGTGTCAGGTCTTCCCCACTGCTGCTTTTGCCTGTTGTGTGTAACAAAAATGATGAGGTGTAATAATAGAAAATGCCACTTCAACTCTGGCTTAGATTTCTAGGTAAAGAACTCAGCTACAACAAATGCATCCTTCCTCACTACAAAAAAATCTTTGAACAACCTTTTCCCTACAATATAGTATGGATATGTAACCATCCTATAAACACACTGGATCATCATAAACCATTTCCAAAAGGAGTCCTTCAAAGACATGTGAAGAGCAACTTCCACACTGGGAAAGTGAACAGTGTAGCCACTCACCCAACTCTTTTTCCAATCAGGGATTCCAAATACCTTCTTGCAGACAGCTGACCCAACAGTTTGCTGTAGCCACTTGTGAACAGCCCATCAGCATGTCTTGTGTTTCTGTAATGGCAAAAGTCATAAATAACTACGCTGCCAAGCAGACCATTTTCCATAGCCTGGATAAGTCACTTTTTTGTTCCAAGCAAGCACAGTCATGGTTGTGAGGCTCTGAAACCTGCAAAAGGGTACATTTTCCAAACTCTACTTCAGCATGTGTTCTTAAAGTGAAGGGCAATTTCATCCTTACCCCTGATGTGCACTCAGCTGGCCAGTAACTGCAACTACAAATCCACTGGATCATCTCAAACCACAAATATCCCCAGTGCTGGCAATGCATCTTATCTAGTAACACAAACAGGGCTTATATGCCACAAAAAAAGGGAGGCAACAGCCAGAGAGTTCCTTCAAACTTATGACCACTTCCTTCAAAATCACTTTGTTTGTGCATTCATATTTGCAGTTATTACTAGATCTAAAAACAGTCTTACCTATCAATTGCTCTGGACACATCAAAATAGAATTTGTCGTTCTCTGGGAGTGTAGCCTGCAAAATATCACCCTCGGGTTTTAATGATCCTTGAGCACGATCAGATTCACTGGCTCCATCATATGGCATCCTGTTTCCTAATCTGATTGGGGGTGGGAGAAAATGAAGCAACATTTTTTAAAAACTAGAGGAGTCTTACAATTAATTGAAAAGAAACAAAACTTGGCATGCGAACAATGAAGATGATCAATCAGCAAAGAGTGTAGCGAACAATGAAGATGATCAATCAGCAAAGAGTGTAAAGATATTTCATAGTGAAGACATTTTACAGGACTGTAGTCACTTTCATGGTGAAAGAAGCTAGGCTGAGTCTCGATCTTTTATTCTACCACCAGCAGGCAAATTTTCATTCAGACAGGCCTTTGGCAGTTAAACTGTTTTGCCAATGGTGAGCGAGCTTAACTGATTAGTTACTGCCTAATTATATTTTAACTTATGTCTTGTTGTTGCATTTTCTTAATACTTGAATGTTATAATTAATCATGTGTGGAAGGAAAGTGTGGTGTACATTTACTAAATAAGTAATAAGTAAATGTATGTGTTTTACCATATGCATTGTGTATCATTAGCCTTTGAAATTATACCAGGATCGCCTTTGTAAATAATAACTCTACGTGAAGAAGGAAACCATAGTATGTTAACCTTGTAATCCACAGCAAAATCTAAGCAACAGAAGAGGTTTCAACACATGTGTAAGCCTCCACTTCAAATCAGTGGGATTCAAATCCAAAGTTACTGGATCAGACCCACATTATTGACCTAATTCATTTTTAAGATGAGGGTGGGGTGGACGAGAGTTTGGAAGCATAATTTAAATGCATATTACTATAAAAGTTTGGACTGATCAGTCTGTCTTATACCAAATTGTTACCTCATTTCATAAATTGCAAATATGATGGCAACAGGATCATATTACCCTGAATTCAAATCCTCTCTCTGCCATGAAACAATGAGGGATCATAGGCTATTCGCATCACCTCAGCTTGACCTCCCATAACAGAGTTATTGTTGGGATTAATTGAGGAAAAAGGGAACCATGAATGCCACTATCATCTCATTGGAGGCAAGGAGGCATGACAATCAAGGAATTAAGTAGTTAAATCACAACTATTTCAGATTTCTATCCCAACCTTCCTTCAATGCACCCAGGCTAGGATACAAGACCCTTCAGCACCCCCATTTTGTGCTCTGCACAAACTAGTGAGGTATGTCAGAGTGAGAGAGTGGGTGAATGGCCCAATGTTACCCAGTCAGTTTCATAGTCCATTGAGACTTAATATACTTATATCTCCCAGGTCCAAGCCCAGAACTCTAACTATTGCTCTATGCACTATTCCTTCTCTCCCTCTGCATACACACACACACACACAGAGTTTTTAAGGCTAACAATGTAGTAATGTAAAGGACTTTGGACAGCAAATAAAAAGGACTTAAAGGTAAAGGTAAAGGTTCCCCTTGACATTTTTAGTCCAGTCGTGTCCGACTCTAGGGGGCGGTGCTCATCCTGTTCTTCAAGCCGTAGAGCCAGTGCTTGTCCAAAGACAGTTTCCGTTGTCATGTGGCCAGCGTGACTACGGAATGCTGTTTTACCTTCCCACCAAGGTGGTACCTATTTATCTACTTACATTTACATGCTTTCGAACTGCTAGGTTGGCAGGAGCTGGGACAAAGCGATGGGAGCTCACTCCATCGTGTGGATTCGATCTTATGACTGCTGGTCTTCTGACCGTGCAGCACAGGCTTTTGCGGTTTAGCCCGCAGCACCACCACGTTCCCTGAAACTGAGTTTCTTGCTTCTAGAAACTCAGTTTTAATCCTCAAATACTTTGATGTACACAAATAAATTTTCACAATGCAGCCCATATCCTATGGGGTGCTACATGTGTGGGCTTAATCTTATACAAATCCCTCAGTGACTTTCTACATGTAGATGAATGTTTCTCTCTTTTGTTGCTTTCATTAACACACTGATTACCTCGAGATTTGTAATATTGGCATCACCACTTTTTATCTCCTAGTTAGCAATGTCTCAGATGCTGCTGATGCTTTGATTTCCAATTTTACCTAGCAAAACTTGATAAATTTTGCACATCACCAAGTTGTGCCTGCATTGGCAGGTCTGGCACATTTTAGGGAATAGGGTATCCTGATGATTTCAATGATAAATAAATAAATAAAATAAATAAAAGACCTAATGTGTTGCATCCAGCATGACATGAGCCAAGGTGTTATTGTTGCTTTCTAAGAAGCTGTGTAGGTACTAGTGGAAAAATCAATGAACCCCACACATGTAGCACCCCATAGGATATGGGCTGCATTGTGAAAATTTTATTTGTGTACATCAAAGTATTTGAGGATTAAAACTGAGTTTCTGGAAGCAAGAAAATTATGCACTAGGGGAATGGCACTACTGGATGCAATTCACAGAAATAATTTAATGGACAAAAGACTGAACATGCTAATGTTAAATACAATCACGCTAACTAATTTAAAATTGAAGTTGCAGTCCTATCCTACACTTACATTTAGAGGAAGAATAAACTGAAAAAGGCAAATGATGTGTAGAAATATTACAAAATTTGTAAATGAAATGTAACAGTTCCTCATTTTTGGTTCAGGAAATGAACCATAAATGTTTTGCTGCTGCTGTTCTAAAGGTGTTAATTAGAGATGGGGACAAATATAAAAACAAATTGCTATTTTTGCTTAATATAGCCAATTCATCATATATTTGTCGATACATATTCATCGAATTTTAAGTCCTTATGAATACGACTTGATGAATATTTTCCCAGTTTTATTTGTTGCTCCATCAATATTCACCTATATTCATTACCCTTTTGGGGGCCTCTGTATGCCATCTCTCAGCTTGCTGTTGCCAATCAGAAGCTCTGATCCATCAGGAGATCCTGGATTGGCCTCTTAGACAGCCAATAGCACTGCTGAAAGGGCTGTGGATGTGGGTGTAAATTTTACAGAGGCTTTATTTGGTGTGTGGCTGTGGAATCCCTTTCCCATCAACATTTAATTCCTGTGGTTGTGTCTGTGTCTCACTCTGAGACATAGTTGGCAGGGGTTTAAGTTTAAAAAACGTAGTTACTTTTGGTTCTGAGACATAGTTGGCAGGGCTTTACATTTAAAAAACGTAGTTACTTTTGGAGGCTTTTGTTAACTTGTGTCTCTTCAGGCACGTGGGTGGAGAGGAATTTGGTGTGTGACAGTGTGGGCCAAATACCTCAGTGCCCGATGGGGACACAGTCTACTTTGCTGCCAATTGCCTCAGTGCCTGATAGGGCCAAAAAGTCTGCTTTGCTGCCAATTGCCTCAGTGCCCAATGGGGCCAAAGTCTACTTTGCTGTCACGTGCCTCAGTGTCTGATGGGGCCAAACTCTACCTCAATGACAAATACCTCATTGTCTCCTGGGGGAAAACTCTACGTCACTGCCAAATGTGATGTTGCTGAAGACAAGCTCTGCTCCAATGTCTCATCCCTCTGTGTGCCTGCCAGAGACAAATCAAACTCCCTAATTGCCATCTGCTTCTGTGCTGCGTAGTAAACTATCCTGGGGGGACCCAATTTGTGGGTGAATAACATAGATGCCTGATATCTAATCTTCCCCAAACTTGGCAGGCATGTTGGGGAAAGACATAGGAGGCTTTGGTGTGATTTAGGATTCTCTAAGTACCTGGGGGGAACGTTACTGGGGGTGCCCTCCTTATGACTATATAGTGCAGGGGTCCATTAACCAATGTTTACCAAACTTTCTGAACTTTTAGAAAAATCATCTGAGGAAGCTTCTCTGAAAATTTGGTGTCTTTAGCTGCTTGGGGAGCAGTTTTATAGCATTTTATAGTGAAAAAGAATTGACAAATTGATTCATCAATTTGTCGATGAATATTCCTAAATTTGTATTTGTTGATTCATTAACCTTGATGAATCACGAATCACAATGAATCACCATTTTTTAAAATTCATCCCCATCTCTAGTGTTAATCTGTGGTGTGGAGGGAATTAAAACCCCGCAGCCAGATTGTTAACTGGGGCTGGTTATAGGGAATAGATAACTTCCCTGTTACAGCAGTTCCACTGGCTGCCAGTCCATTTCTGGGCACAATTCAAAGTGCTATCTCTAACCTATAAAGCCCTAAATAGCTTGGGTCCAAACTGTCTCAAGGACCACATCTCCCTTTTTATGAGTCTTCCTCAGTGTTAAGAGGCCTTTCTCTCAGTCCCATCATCTTCGCAGGTGCATATTATATATGGAAAGACCTTTAGTGGTTGCCCATTGTTTCCATGCTCAATTCAAAGGGTTGGCTTCAGATGTTCAACCCTTGAGACCCAAGGTGGGTTAAACATCTGAAGAAAAGGCCAGACTATCATTGATTACAGAAGACCATTTGCTGGGCATATTGGAAAGAAGTTTATCTCAGTGACTGGCTACATGAGTGGCTTTTAGATGAATTGCCACGCATTACTGTTCTGACTGAGTCTTTTTTACTACTCTTTATTACTACTTGTGTTTACCATCTCTCAGGGTTATATTTGTTTGTTCCTTTTTAGTATTTGCATACTTATTGTTTTAGCTTTAATATTGTATTTTAATGATGTAAGCTGCATCTTTATACTCATTGTTCTTAGCTTTAAATATTGACTTTTAATGATGTAAACCACCATTGTATACACATTGCTTTCAGCTTTAAATATTGTCTTTCAATGATGTAAGCCCCCTTGGGTCCTTTTTAAGGAGAAGGTGGAGTAAAACTAACTAACTAACTAACTAACTAACTAACTAACTAACTAACTAACTAACTAACTAACTAACTAATAATACTGCTCAATTTCAAAAGGCATTGAATCTATAAGTATGGGGCAACATTCTTGGCTTTCAGAAAAACTGTTATCTCTCATTAATTTAGCCTTTTAGACTATCTTTAATGTGATATGCTTTCAATTATTCTATTAAGGCACTTTTTGTTTTTATCATTATATTTTCCATTTACAGTGAACCACCATCTTGGGTTTACAATGAGAAGGGTAGTATAGAAATATAAGTAATAAGTTTTCCCAAACTTGCTCTCAAAACCCTCAGCTAAAATTCATATTCTCTGAAGGATCCTTTGAGAAATCTAAGAAAAACACAACAGTCTTTTAATGAAGCTAGTATCAAGTTTAGGGAACCGTACCCATTACTTCTATATTATTTAATTCCTTTCAACCTTTTGGTTCTTCTAATTTTGTGATACCATTTCTCAGAATTTTCCAGTGTGATTGAGTTGCATGTAATGTTTTGGCATGCCTTTCAGTTCTTTACCTGCAAATTTTATATCTCATGCAATTTATGCGTTATGAACAATTTGCTACTTCAGTCTATGAAAATGCCCATTGCAGGCCAAGAGTCAAAGTTACTGTCATATTATCTCTTTCTTCCATGAACTGAATGCAAAGGCACGTACATTTCAAATACAAGGAGGCGAGTACATGCACATAGAATCCACCAGCAAGGTGCTACACGTACCTAATAAATAAATTTTTAGGGTGCCTCATCTGAGTGCCCTGCCCAACCATAAGTTTATACTGAATGATGTTCCATCTGTAAACAGGTACCCCGATTTGTTGTCATTGTTATCTGCTGTCAAGTCAGAACTGACTTATAATAGGGCTTGTGAAGTAAGTATTTAAAGAGTGATTTTTACTGATGCCACACCCCCATGAGTTGCCATGGCTCAGCAGGGATTTGAACGTAGGCCTCTGAATCACTCTTTCCACTACACTATATTGAATAACCTATGAGATGTAAAATTTCTGAAAATGTCCTTTTTTTCCAGAAAAAAAAAACATTTTTACCAGAAAAAAAAATTGAAATTTTTGGAAACTTTACAACTCTAATCCTACCTCAAGTTAGCAACAGAGTTTTCCACTGTCATTGTTAAATCCTGCCCTATTTTCACTGCTCTGACAGTGACAAAACAAAAGAGAGGTTTTCGATAGGAGGCTTTGGATCCACTAGATCTAACCCCGTATTCCTCAGACACTACTTGAATAGGAGAGAATCCACATCAGCCAAGGAGTTAATATGAATGGATCTCTCTCCCACTCAAGGCAATCAGAGCAGCACTTTAACAATGTCTCCTCAGAAACAAACAGTAACAATGAATGTATTTTAGAAGCAATGCCTTTTTAAAATGTCCATGTGTGTTGGTGTCAGTTGTGTCAATTTTATGCAACTTCTCATAAATAATAATCTGTCAAATATAGATTCACCTTCCATATTTGATCAAAAAGGTCTTAGAAACAGGCAGAACTGCTCAAGAAAAAAATGTCGTATGTCTTGAAACTTAAGAGCTGGGGTGATATTAAATGCAGAAACCAACACATGCTCTCTACATCCATAATATAAATTGGTATTCCTTTCGTTGTCAATAGGCATATCACATTGTTTCAATCTGAACTATGTAAAAAGTGTGCCCTGCAAAACTCTAGAATGTGCTCAGGAAGAAATAGTGGCATGATCAAATGATAATCTGGTTTTTTTTTAAAAAAAAAAGTCACACTTTTCTTTACTTTAATTCTCAAGTTTTTGTCAATATGTGTAATTTAAAATAGGTTTCCATGAGATCATATATGACTTATAAAATAAATGCTGAGAAAATATAACATACCATTTGCAAATTTATTTTGGATTAAAAAGTGCATTGCACACAGTTATTTTTTTAAAAAAATTGATTGCTTTATGGAAGCCATGGGCATGTCAGATAACCTGGGCTATTTCTTTGAAAAAGATTCTATTATACTGATCCTAATGATGGTCAAATGATGATCACAAAGATAGCTGGAAAGCTTGATCTTTAGAAAGATCAAATGTTTTGTGATAGGCCAGTATCATCATTGAAGTGAAAAAGTTCAACAAGAATGCCTTTCATCTTGTTCTGCCACTTCTGAGCCTGTTCACAAGCTATTAGAGCGTAAATGTGCTTCAGAAGCATCGGCTTGACTGGCATTTCATCACTAATGACAGCTAATGTTGCCTAGACTGTTGTGTCCGGCTAGCTCAGGCTGAGAACTATAAAAAGGAGTGGATGGAACCTGAAAGTGTGTGATACAAATCTGGGTTCATCGCCTTCTTCTGTACATAATGTTTATTATTCAAAGCATATGACTCAGGCTATCATGAATAACTCAAAAGTGACCTAAAACTAGAATTTTGCTAGTGTGAAAGGAGGCAGCAAGTCTGCTTCTCTTACCACAATACACTCAACAAAAATACCTACATTCCTATTGAGTCTATCAATCAGAGGTTTATTTTACTTGCCATTTGCTATCCTAGTTCTTCAAGGACACTAATATCCTATTTAGAATGGAAGAAGTTACTGATTAAAAATGGAAAGAAGCTTTGAAGGGGGAGAGAAGAAGCCTTGAACATAAACATTTACTATTAATAACATCAGTTAAGAATGACTACTAAAATTTATGAGTGAAGGCAAGAATGCACAGGTCTGGATGGAATGCTACTGTCTCTGTACACCTGTATTAGTATAGGATTCTTTCTGCATGATCAGGAACCTTGTGTTCCAACAGCCTTATATGGCTGTGCTCCAACCCCATAGGGCTACACCACATAAACTGTACAGATGCTCAAGTAAGTATATGTAGGTTGTGACACAAGTTCTGCAACTGTGATATCAGACATCCCTTCCATCCCTAGTTGCATGTGTGAGAAAGACTATTGATAACCCCCCTCTCTCCCTCCCTCCCGCCTCTCTCTCTCTCTCTCTCTCTCTCTCTCTCTCTGTGTGTGTGTGTGTGTGTATGTGCACGTGCAAAGCTGAAACCTAAAGGTAGACCATGAGAATCAGACAAACTTTTGATTACAGTGACTGTGGAGATGCTGATAAAAGAATTTAATGGAGGAATTATGTACTCTACAAATGGTTAAGAAAGCAGTCTTAGTTTCCCCCTTAGGCTACATTCTTTAAGATCACACACAGTCAAATTCTCCTGTTGTAGATCTGCATACAAGTCTCTGGGTTTTTAAAGGGTGCTAAACTCAACAATGTGACAAATACTTTGGGTTAATTCCCACCCAAAATCAATGGGTCTAAGTTGCTTAGTAAATACATCTGTCTGTCTTCCTTTCTTGCCGAACAACCAGCAATGGGTGGCAGTAATAAGAGAATGGAAGTATAGAACATGATAAATCCCATTGAGTTGTAACAAAAGAAATAACAATTTCCAAATCTCTATGCAATTATGCTCCTCCATACCACACTTCCCCCGAGGCCAGGCCAGGTGAAAAACCTTGCTATTAGTCTTTGGCATCAACACATTTCTAACTAGTTTGACAGAGCTAGAGTAGTCATTGAATTAAATGAAGCAATTTGAACCCACTTCAGGTTTCAGTAGAAAAGCCTTACCTCATAGCTGAATATGTTCCCAGAGGTGGTAAAGCAACAGCTAGGGAGCAGAGAATACTGAGTAGGACAAAGGCGGGGAGAAGATGGGAGCCACTTCGGAGTTCCATCTCTTTGCACCTAGTTTGGGAAAGATGATACGGATATTAACCACCCGCTGTCAATATTCCTGTCTTGCTTAAACAAAGACATTGTCTGTGATAAGTTCAAAGTAGAAACAGAAGACTTGTTCAAGGTGGAAAATTGCACGCATCTGATACAGTGGACAGATATGTGTATATTTCGCAATATGAGGAGACATTCAAAATACTGCCTTCAAACAAGCGGGATATCAAGAGCCCATAAACTTCCCTTTGATGCCATTGAGTTAGCGAAGTCTGCTAATGCTAATATGAATATAAGTAACATCACTATTAGTTTCTCTTTATCATACTTATCTATAATTTTCCATCCTATAAATACATATGAGATTGAGAATACCTTCCAAGTAAATAGGGTAGGGACATATATTGGCCAATAAACAGTTTAGCTAATTAAGTATAATGTAAGTGTCAAAATATTAATTTAATATCATGCAGATTTGCAAGTATTTTTCTTCTGCTGCTAAAACAGTATCACAAAACTTCTGCAATTCTGCTACAAAAAAAAGCAAAATGTGCAGGCTTAACTTGACTGAATTTGATTTTGAAGCATGGCTTCAAATATAGCTGTTTGTAATCAAACAGGGCATTTGGTTGGAGGCATTGTTAAATTCCATGGAAATTAGTCCATAACTTCAGCATTAAGGCTTTGGGAACTAGAGACAAGCTCCTAATGAGCTGGAAAGAGTTTTTCATGTAGCTGCAGTGAGCATTAATTTATTCTCATGCAAAACCATTTATTCAGATCACAATAGCAACAACATACAAAAGCACACGGCTGCAGTAATTTCATCTGCTCTAAAAAATACAGCCAGTACTACAGTTCAGGAGGAACTGCCTCCGCAGTTTAAATGGACAGTTTTGGAAGAAGTGTTACATACAGCACAACTGACACTTCAGACTTTCTTTTTACACAAAGTAGAATTTAAAAAAAAACACTCATGATCTGGGGAACTTGGAAAGATAAAAACAAAACTATGGTAATAGAAAATACAAAGAGAGCTCACAAAGGGCTATGTAGGTGTAGTGGCTAAAAATAAGGTTAAAAAGCAATATTCAGGACAACGTCTGCAATACTGATTATGTGCAAAAGGATGGGAGCTATATTTTTCTTGGAGCTGAAGAAAACTTCAGTTATCTCACACATAAATTTAGAAAGGTGCCAAAGCAGAGTCCTTTTACAGGAGTCCATTTCAGCCTGTGCAAATAAACATTCCACATCTCACTTTGGAAAGTTATATTCTTCCTACAAACAGAAATTTAAGCTGTCTCCCCCCAAGAAACACAGACACCCAGTTAAATTCCCCCGTTAGATTTTTTTTTCCTAGACTCAACTTAAATTTGGTAAGGCAAAGAGAAATACACACTTCTACTTACTAAGCAAGAAGAAGGGGTTTCTTGCCTCCTGAAGCGCAGGACAGTATCTGGAGCACAAGCAAACCAGGGAGCTTTCCTTGGTGTTGAATTCCCCTGAAGCAATTTGTTTTGGCTGCTCCACGCAGTTCTTCTTTAGATACTGAACTGGCCTGCACAAGGAAAAGAGTCTGTTCTGCTCCTTCTAATTGCTAGTCGGAAGTTTCCCAGCTCTCTTTCCTAGGCTAATGCTCTCTCTCTCTCTCCTTCAGAGCACTCTGTGCAGCCTTTCGAGCTGCCTCATTTCATAGGGTGTATATATACAGAAGGCCACTTTTCTCCTCCAACAGGCAATCACGTTACGTTGAAGACGTCACATTCCCAAGGGGATGGATTGGAAATATCTGTGATGGCTTTGTTCAGGATGTGATGAGACAAAAGGAAGTTCATATTTAATTCATGGGAAGCCCCCTCCTCCCGACTTAAATTGATTTGTAGCTAGATTGATGAACGTTTTTAAGTGAGTAACACTGGGCTGGCCACAGAATGCAGGTTTTGTAGTACAGGGCCAAATGCTGCCCTGGAATCAGGATTGACTCATTAAGTGGCGATTGATCAGAGTGATACTAGCCTTTCTCCCACCCACCCCACCCACCCCCCGATGTAAAGGAACAAAATGTTAGAAAGCCAGAACACTCTGATATTCATGTAGAATATCAGACAGAAATCTCAGAAGATCCCCAAGGATTTTCCACCTTCAACAGCTCTTAATATGTCTTTATTTCTAAATGCTACAATTCAAGAAGAGCTCAAATGGAATACAAGTGTAAGCTGATTTTTAGTATATTGGTACAATTTGAAACAAAGTCCAAAAATCTGGTTTAATGTGATTGCATGGCATCTTATTGTGCTCTACTACGAAGTTGTACAGAGCTGCTTTGCTCCATAGCACTCCAGAGCAGAGATTATCTAGAATGTCCCTTAAAAACATTTCACTTTCCACAAGTGCCAGGTACTTCATTAAATCTGGTGAGACTGCTGCCCTGGCTTGCTTTAGGTAGGTTACTAAACAAATTCATTCCAAAATCCTGGTCATATTTGAAGGTCAGTTCCACTGAACATATTGGGCCTTTCTTCCAAATAAATATCCATAGCATTGCTGTATTAGTCTCCTCATTTTTTTTTTTGCTTTAAACATTGAGAATCACACAAATAAATAGATAAATAAAAGACACAAGTATTGCCAGGCTAGAATCTGAAATATAAATTTGCATTGTTTGCCTGCCTTAGGTGGGACACATCTCATGTTTCTTACAATCATAATGACTGTGCATGCCATAAGGATGGCCAGAAGTAGTGGTCGCCCCCTGGTCCATCATTTTAAGTGGTCATCCCCTGGTCCATGTTTACCTGTTTCAGCAGTCCCAGCTTAATAAAGCTAAAAATGTTGTTTAATCTGAACGATGGCTCACCAAAGCCAAAATACAGATCCTTCTTGTCATTTATCATATCTGAAAAACAGATAAGAGTGCAATGAATATTTTAAGACATCCCCTCATTGTGGGAAAGTACAACCACATAACACAGAGCATACTTAATGCATGGGTTTATTCACATTTATTAACATTTGGAAATGTGACTATAATTCCTAAAATCCCACCAGTCAATATAAGAGTCAGAATCCAGAAAAAGTGCTGCTCAGCACCAACGGAATGTTAACAGTTAGAATTCAATTTATCTTCTCCATATTGGTCACTCACTGGTGGAATAGAAGATTCCTTTCCTTCTCAGATCAATAATAGCAGTTTCAAGATGTATGCCTGAAGATAGACTCAGCCATATGTTGCAGTTCTCCTATCCTGACCCTGTTGGAACTGTCTCAGTCCCACTGGTTCCAATGAAACAAAGTTAAACATTAGGAAAACAATATTCAATTATGAATGAGTCGTGCTGGTCTGTCCCCAGCTGATCAAGCTGTACTGAATGAATTCATAAGATCCTGAATAGGTATACCAATAAAATTAGGAGTACTTACTCAAAAGTAAATCAGTTCATGCATGCAGCCCCAAACCTGATAAATAAGGAAGAGGTCACCATTTCCCTTTCATTCTAATAAATCTTCAATCTTTCCTTTGTTTCGCGTATTTGGGAGTTTAAACGGTGACTATTCAGTGATCCTTAATCACATTTTCTAATCTACTTCCTTAAAAATAAAGCAAACTGAGCCAAAAAAAGGAATTGTCTAGAAATTTGTTTCTTAAATGACAGCTGTGACTTAAACCAGAGTTCCTGCAACACTAATTCCAGGAAGCATGTTGCTCCTGTTAATCCCTAACTGACTGAGATATATGACTGTCACCCGTAGGAATGGTAAAATGGGCACCAATCTCTAGTGATCAGTTACTTTAGGGGGTGGGAACATGACACCCAGAACCAGATCGTGCCCAGACCAACTGGGGATTTCTGGGAATGAGGGTCTAAAAAAGCAACTTTTCCACAGTTTGCTTCCTGATACTTTTGCTACTGTCTGACAGCACCACTTGGAAAGGGAAAAAGTGAAGGGAAAAACAGAATAAAATACAGGCAAAAAGGACATAATCCAGGAAATTCTTCTCTCCATTGAAGTGAATGGGGACATAATCCATTAGGAAATTCTTCTCTCCATTGAAGTGAATGGGAACAGTGTAAAGAACAAAGCAATGTTCTTCAAGGATTCCAACCAGAGAAGAGGATTCCTGAGTCTCTGAGTGATGAGGCTGAGGCCACTAGAAGTCTGTTTGTGGACCATGTTTCTCTCACAATTGCCTGTTTCTCTCACAAATGCATAGTATCTGCCATTTCCAGATATACTGCCAGAGCTATGGAGGTGGCATCTATCTGTCATGTTTTTCAGATTACAACATCCAGAATCTTGCAGCAAGCATAGCTGGTGGCTTTTCCAAGTTACATTTACTTTTTCAAACTCTGAATAGGTTATAAAGAGTAACAATAAATAAAATCTTTAAAATGTTTACCACAAAAATATCGCTCGGCTACAACCCAGGTCCCAAAGAATTATCAGAGTGGTCTAATTTAAATTTGTGCTAATGTTCTCTTATAACCAGGACTGGTGAAACCTGCCGCTCTCCAGATATTGATGGGTTCTTCTTCTCATCATCCCCAATCATACTAATGGAAGTTAGGTAGTGCCAATGAGAGTTAGAGTTCAACTGAAATCTGGAGGGTTCCCCATGCAGATTCTAAAAGAAACTGATAAAAATAGGATAACCATGCTATGGGATGTATATAAACATTTTTTGCCTCAGGACACTCTTTTTTAATAGTGATATTCAAATGCTCTGCCTATTTATTTCTGTGTTATATTATTCTCACATTTAAATCCTGCTTTTCTACTGAGAAGCAACACTCAAGGCAACTGGTAAATGTCACAAAAACAAATGAAACAAATCAACTATATGATCACTGCAATATTCAGTAAACCTCAAAACTATTTAAAGGGCCAGTTGGAGGCGATCTGTATTCGTATGCTGCCTAAAAGCAGTGAGAGTGGGAAATCATCACAAATCTGTGGGAAATCCAATGGAATGACTGGAACTACCATCATCCTGCCCCTGTACCCTAAAACAACATTCCACAGGACGTGGAATTCTCAATTATCAGAGTGTTCTCTTGAAGAACATAATGTTCAGAAAAGTTCATAACAAGGGAGGCAGTTCCAGAGATAGCCAGCCACGTGTCATTTATAGTTTTAAAACCAGCATCTTAAGAGTCTGGAACGCAAACTGTCAGATTAATGTCATTTCTTTTTTATGTTCCATCTATCAGTTTAGCTACACAGCATAATACACCTGAAGAGCTCACTCTTTGCTTCTTTATTTTGACAAAAGTTACAGACGTATTAGAGCCCCTACGAAAATGCTAGGTTTTGCCATGTTTTTTGTGGTCTAAGTAAGCAAAGGCTCAAAATGGCCTGAGAGCACCACCTAGCTGTCAAATAAATCTGTTCCCTAATATTCAGAAAATGCATCCTCCCATCTCTCTCTTCTTTTTTTGGTCAGGATTGACGATGCCACCTACAAATTTTCAAAATCTGAAATACAGAAGAACCTGAATTTGTTTTTATCAGAATATGACCTGAAAAATATGCTCAGCTTCAAATTTTGATTTAAGTAAAATTATTTATAAATAAGTGCACTTAAATATACTCATTCCACTTTTTATAACCAAAAACCCTATCTGAAGATGGTTCCATATCAGAGGTAAAATGCATACAGGATTTCACATCAACACTAGATGAATACATGGCAAAGGCAGGGACGGTTAAAAAGAACAATAAGAAGTGACTTCCAAGGAGGAAATATTGGATGTGTAAAATGATCTACGAGTTCCAATACCTGGGAGAAAGGAGGAAGTCACACACAGAAAGGAAAAGAAAAACTGCCCTTGATCATCTTACAATGCAATTACACAGTAGGAAAAATGCAAATGGATATCCTGTGACGTTGCACCATGGAAGTTGGTTTCTCTAACTTAATTCACTTCAACTGACCACACAAGAGTCAATAGAAAAAGAAGGGGGATTGCCAATCAGCACTTGTTGGCACCTTGTTTTAGATAACTCTTGCCCTGACCCCTGCACACAGACCCCATTCCCCCCAACTGGTCCACGGTGTCAAAACAGTTGGGGACCACTGCTCTAATGCACCAGTACTATTTCAACCCATATATAAAGTTCAGCAAAAGAGCCAAGAACAGTTTGTGCATCATATGAGGTATGAGTCTTCTTCTGCCTCCTTTGCTCTCACTGTGAGATTTGCAGACACCAGCCTGGGCTGCATCAGTAACATTTATTGCAATTGATACATGGACAGTTGGATGAGATCACCATTCCATTAATTAAATCCCTGTTAGCTCTCCAATAAATTTGCTTTGAAGAAGTCTTCTTCCCCACCCCCCCTTCAACTTGACTGTTACTCAAGAAACAAGAAGAATCTTCTCTGCAGAGTAGAACAACAGCTTGATGGTGGAAAGTGCAAGTTTCTTTTGACATTGATCAAGATCTGTTCTTTGAGAATCCATCAAAGAAATTCCTGTCCACTCTAACATTTGGGCCTTTCTCTGCCGTAAGAGCAAAATGAAAATCCTCCTGATTCAGCCCAAAGACCTTTCAAGCCCAGCATTGTGTTCACACAGTGACCACAAAATACACACAGGAAAGGTACAAGCACAACATAAGTGAAACAGCAACTTCCCACTTCTAACAAGTAGTTACTTCCCACTACCATGACTCTAAGGATTTCTAAGACTCTTGGTTAGCTTTCCTCTCTCTCTCTCTCTCTCTCTCTTACACACACACACACACACACACTCACACACAACCACCTGAAATGGCTGTCATCATACTTTCATCTACCTGCTAATCTCACTCTTCTGTTTTCTAACCTCCTGACCCAATATTCTTTTTATGTAAGGGCATGTCACAATGCAGGTAAGTACCCATAATGATCCAAGTATTGTACACAAATGTCCAGTCTTGCATAAATTGGTTCACATAATTTCCTCCCATGGAGAAAAAGAGAACAGAGAGACATAAACTAGGGATCTTCATGATCGGATACTCTTGTACAGGAAGTAATTTCTACTGAAAGCTATCAGCATGGTAGAGGAAAAAACTTCAGCTAGATTTTTTTTAAAAAAAATTAATTTTGTTTTTGTTTTATTCATTTTGCTTCGAATTTTTAAAAACGCAAAGTCAGTTGAATCAATGGAATTTATAGAGGACTTCATTCACCAAATTCTCCACTATTTTAGTGGACTGACTCTATTGTGACTTATTGTATTAAGCAATAGGATTTCAGCAATGTTGGTATAGTAGCAGATTGGTCGACTATGACTCATGGGATCTAGATTCAAATCTCTGCTCTCTGATGGAAGCTTACTGGGAGGTGGTATGGGTAAAACCACTCCTTAAATATCTCAGATACCATTGGAAAGGTTACTCCAGAGACCATAAATCACATATGACTTGATGGCACATAGCCACTCCTTAAATATCTCAGATACCCTTGGAAAGGTTACTCCAGAGATCATAAATCACATATGACTTGATGGCACATAACACATATTGGATTTCTAGCCAAAAAAAGCTTGTGTCAAGATTAAGTAGGGGATCCCTATGAGTTGCATCTGATCTTCAGGATCAAGGGGGGGGGGGGCACTGTTTCAGAAGCATGTGACACTGAAATCTACCCTGGTCCTCCAGTTGCATTTGCTCCACCAGTTGCGGATCCCTGTGAGTTGCATCTGATCTTCAGGATCAAGGTCTCCTATTGCTGGAGGGGTCACTGTTTCAGAAGCATGTGAAACTGAAATCTACCCTGCTCCTCCAGTTGCATTTGCTCCACCAGTTGCCAGAACTAGTAGCAATAACAATTTAGCAATTTCTGTTAGGAACATGGAGTTCCCATGAAGTCGATAATCTGGAAGGATTTTCAATAGTGTACAACAGATGCCACATGGCTGAGTGCACTCACTGCAAAAAAAAGTGCTCAAGCATGAGCAGGACCTGAAGATTTACCAAAGCAAATGAAATGGGGGGGGAGTGGCTTCCTAATTGTGAAGGGTTAGAGTCATCAGCCAAACCCTCTTGGACTCCCAACTTAAACAGTGAGTAATGGACACTAAGCAACAGCGGAGGGGGGAGTCAATGTTAGAGGTTGAGCCACTAGCCCAGGGAGGCAGAGTAGTAGATCAGCAAATAGGAAGAAATGGGAGGCAGCAAATGCCAGACCCACATCTCAAGAATATATTCCAGGCAATCCTGGAGGAGCTTTGAGGTGTGCAGGAAAATGCCTTCTGCAAATGCAAAATACCAAGGTTACTCATCATTTAGGGCAGTGGTTCCCAAACTTGTGTCCCCAGACGTTCTTGCGCTCCAACTCACAGAAATCCTGGCCAGCACACATAGTGGTGAAAGCCTCTTGGAGTTTTAATCCAAGGATATCTGGGGACCCAAGTTTAAGAAACACTGACCAAAGAGATATTATAGTTCTGGATGACCAGACAGTCTTTCTGGTGGAGAACACTGGTTCCCATAGGTTTATGGTAGAACTGGTACTCCATTACCAATTGCCATCTCAAACAAACTTTAGCCACAAGGTGGTGATGCCAGAATTATATTGGGGTCACAGGCAACTCGTACAGCAGCAGTTGACCAGAGCACAGGTGGTGCATTTTACAAATGACCTCTGGACCAACGTG